TTTTGTCCAAATTTCACCTAAATCTCTTACCCTTATCTCCAACCATATCATCAAACTCATTATCACTTATATCAACTAACTTGCATTCATAAATCTCCTTATAACATCCAAATTCTTTAAAGAACACTTAAAACTAAAAAATCACACCCAAAATTCAAACATGTTTTCAATCACTTCTAAGGCTCCAAATCTCGTATTTACATCTTTGAGAAGTCAAATACTTTTAAACTCCAATAACTGGCCATATTTCATCAAATCATTTAAAAACCTATTTTATTAAATCACTAATAAATCATTAATCTCTTAGTTTTAATCATCCTTAAACTTTCCTTAAGCTTCGATAACACTTAAGGCTTCAAAACTAACTCAAAAATGAAAGGAAAAACCAACTTGAATAAACCTTACCTTGGCAATGGAGTTATGGGGAAAAGAAGAAGAATAAGAAGAACAGTAGAGAATCCACCTTTCCAGTCTTATCCTTTATCCCCTATTCACTTCATAAATATCTCTAAAAAAAATGAATATTAAATTTATTTTTTCTAAAAGACCATAATGACCCTCTATTCTTCTATTCTTAAAAATAAGTCTTAAACACAATCTCCTAAATCAATCCTTATACTTTTCAATTTATTCAAATTAACCAACCAAATTTTAAATCCTTATATTATAGCCACTGGCCCGATATTTGGGGTATTACAATTGCTTTTGATGTAATGTTTTGGATTTCAGATCAACGATAGTGGGTTATAATTGAATAATTTGAATAGCATGATCAAATTTGAGCTTAATTGGATTAAACTTGAGTTCAAATAACTGTAGAAAAGAGATTTTTGAATTGAGTTCAAATGAAGAAGAACCAGTGAAATAATTAACCCCTAAAATATTTTAAAGGATGGATTTTATTAATTTTGGGTGATGTAATCGTGTATACGGGGGATAGAAGGAAAACTCTGTTGTGAGGCGCCTAAAATAAGGCTAATAAACGACGTGGTCGATAAAAAAATATGACAGGTAAAAAGCAAAACACAAAATATTATAAGGAAGAACCGAGAAAGTTATCTACTTCGATAACAATAATGGTTGCAAATGAAAATGCTACAAATAAAATATTTAACTTTAAGAATTTAGGTTCACAACTGTAAAAGTTGTCAATTTGAGTAACCTTTAACTTTGAGAATTTAAAATTTAGGTTCACAGTTGTAAAAGTTATCAATTGGAGTAACATAACAGGTAGCACTTAAAATGTTATAAACGATAAAGAAATTAGTTATAAACGGTAAATGTTATTGTAGATACTTATTTTTGTCCGAGGCTTTTGTTCGAAGTTATATAGATTATTTTCTTATTATTTTATTTTATTAAATATACATATACATATTAGGTTAGGTCGTTAAATATATGCTATATATATGTGTGAATGTATATTATAGTTGAGTTGTGCGTGTATAGGTATTTATTATGTGTGCGTTTATACATTGTATGAGTATAGATATATATAGTATATGCGGATATACTAGAATATATATTATATAATTGTAAATATTAAGTGTGTGTATATATATACCAATAAGAAAAGTTAACTTTGATTAATTTTGTTTGTAGGCCCAATACTAAAGAAAATTATATTACAAAGCCTAAACAATAAGCCCAACTTATCCAAAGCAATTGATCCAACCGTTGAAGCTCAAAGCAGCAGCCCAAATCAGCTAGGATTTAGGAGAGGAGACAATGTGCGTGGTTCAACGTCCACCATCCGATCGAGTAACGAATCAATCTCCAAGATCTAACGGCCCAGATAACGTAGAAGCCTCCAAACTGGCACGTGTGATGCACGTCTCATCTATAGTTCCATCAGAGAGCCTAAATCGACTACGTGAGATGCACTAGGACTACGAAAAAAATTGTTCACGTGTTCTTCGATGGCTACATCAGCTGTACCCTGCGAGAATCCTGCAAGCTATTGTCCCTCCCTCTGCTGTGACAGTAACAATGGTAGAGGATATTCATCACAAGACTCCAAATAGCTTTTAGATGATATCTCTCGACCCTTGGATAGGCCACGTTGGATAATATCAACGGAGAAAGGTCTCATCTTTCCCCCATCTAACAAACAAGACAAAAGGAAGAAATTTTATCAAAAGAGCTTCTCTTAGCCCTTAGATGGAACTTGCAAGCAATCTCAACGGTTCTTCTTTCACATGCAAGAACAAAAAAATGAAGCAAAAATTAAAAACTCTTCTTTTTGTTTGATTTGAGTTTGAAGAGATGATTTCGTGACGATTAAAGGCTATTTTTTTGGTCCGATTTGAGGGTATAGATGATGTTGGATTTCGTTTCAAGGTTTAGGGAGGTTAAGGGAGAGTGTTTGGAGGTTATAAGCTCTTCATTGGAGCTCTTATAGGAGAGGGGCGAGAAATGGTGAGCGGCCAAGAGGAGACGAGTAAACATAATGTTGATTTAGAGGTTTTTTAATCTTAGAACAAGCTTAATAAAACCCAAATCTCACTGTCGTTTTTGTGTTTTGGGTTAGGGAAATCCATGTTAAGGAATGTTGGGTTATTTTCTTGTGTAAGGTTCCATCTTTTGTAATATTTTCATTTTAACCATCGAATGAAGTTTACTTTCTTTTATTTCGAACCCTTAACTTTTCAACGCCTTTATTTTAGTTCCGCCTGTCATTTATTGTCTAGTTTCTATACCAGTACTTATATCTGGTGTTATTTATCCTTTCAATCCTTGTTCTTTACTATTTCTATCATTTTGCTACTAAATGTTTTCGTTGTTTACATTTTAGCAACTCATTATCATTTTTGTTTAACTTAGTGTTATTTACATCTAAGCATGCAATATTCACATTATTTCATTTTAGATTCTTGTTGATCTTCCTTCTGATATAGGTGCACATCGTTAATCCTAATGTGCATAATTTAATTTATAATACCATTATGTGTATAAGTTTACGTACTGGTTGCCTCCATTTTTCACGCTTTGTAACATTTATATATGTATTATGTTATGCATTTTATATATGTTAAGGTTTTAAGTGTTAAAAAATATATATATATATATAACAGCCATACCATTAGGGATGGCAAACGGGCGGGTCGGGTGCGGATACCCCCTCCCCATCCCCATACCCACCTAATATTTTTCAATCCACCACCCGCCCACCACCCATGATGGGTACAAATTTTCAAATCCACACCCGCCCACGCGGGTACATTTTCAAATCCATCCCCACACCCACTACCCATTAGCGACATACTCATCTAGACCCCCCTGACAGCAAACTAATGGGATGTTGGAGTTGGTTCCTAGATAGTTCGTGATGGGGTAGCAATGCATGCTTCAATTTATCAGAGGAGTGGCTCTACGAATGTTATAGAGACAGATTGTAGGGAGCATGTAGTTACAGATCTGGATTGTTGAGTTGCTTTCGATGTTAATGCTCATAGTGCACCTAATATGGGTTTTGAGGGGCTAAAGAACATGGAAACTGCTGCTTTTGATGTTAATGCATATAGTACGGCTAATTTGTGTTTGGATGAGCAGTATGGGCTAAAGAACATGGAAAGTGACGTGGTTAGTGGGATTATGGGTTTAATCAAAGAGCCGAATATTTCCCTAATTAAATATCAGATTAAAGACTAAATATCCTTAATATTTGGTTAAATTATATGTTATATATTATACAATATTAAAATTTATAAATTAGTCTCTAAAATTACACCTAAATTCATAATGGTCCAAAATTTAATAGATATTTAACTGGGCGGGCGGATGTGGGGCAGACGGATGCGGGGCTGGTAATGTCTCAAACCCATTACCCGCCCACCACCCACGACGGGTACCACTTTATAAATCCACACCCGCCTACTACCCGCTAAAATTATACCCATCCCCGCTCCAATTGGAGCGGATGCGGTGCGGAATCCACGAAATTGTACCCGTTTGCCATCCCTACATACCATATGTCTTTTGGTTCCATTTCACGTATTATATCTATATATATAAATATTATCATGCATACTGCCATTTTTTTTAGGATTTGCAATACACTACCCATGTATTGTTTTGAGGTTCTAAGTTAAAATAGCATACACATATATTATAAATGATACACGTTTTAGATATTTTGTTTGTATTAAATGCTTGTGTATACGTATGTATTAAATATCTGTTACTCGGATTTGATGGAAGAAATTTTAAAAAATGTATTAAATATAGGTATTTTAAGTAAAAGTCAAATTAATGTTGTTTTGTGCGGGTAATATATGAAAAAGTCTTTCAGCTATAAGTGAAGCGTGTTTCCGAGGATTGTTTACACAAAAGAGTACCATTCTATTCGAATATTATTTTAAGATTTTTTAATACAATATTATATTTTTTTTTATTAAATAAAAAAACAAGGGAATGTCATTTTGTGTGGGGGGAGTCCATGGAAAAGTATCCAGATTACAAAGGAATCGTGTTTCCAAGGATTGTTCATACAAAGGGTATCATTTTATTCGAATATTTTCCTTAAGACATTTTATATAATCTTATATTATTTTTAATATTAAATAAAAATCAAGGCAATAATCTTTTATAAGGAGAATCTATGGAAATATTTCTCAACTAAAGGGAAGTGTGTTTCCAAGGATTGTTTGTAAAAAAGAATACATTTTTTTTAAAAATTTTCTAAGAGGAACATAATTTAAATATACGTTTAAATTTATAAAATTTCATTGTTCATATTATATATAATCAATTAGGTACCAATCTAGGGTGATATGGGGTGCTCACCCTTCTCATGTGTAACCAATTTTAAAACAAATTTCTGGTTTAACATAGATCCTTTTTATCCTTTAAAAATAATTTTTATAAAATAATTTTAAAAGATATTTTTAATTGCTTGACATACCTAATCTAAAGGACACGATGACTCTAATTTATTTTATTTTCAAAACCTGGTTTTTAAAATTAAGTTGGCACGATCCCTGCCTAGCTCCATAAAAGAATGTACTTGCGATAGCTGCTGGGATTGTTGAAGGCATGAATCTTGGTAATAATTCCATGGCAGCTCTTGTAGCACAAGGCTGTTCTGAGATTCGATGGCTAGCAACAAAGGTACAATTCATATGGTCCCTCATGCCCCCAACATTAGCTATGAGGATTTATTTAACTTCGTTTCTCTCTCTTTTGACTAGAATGTCGATAAGATTCATATCGCTCATTCAAATATATAATTGTGCTGTCTAACAAATCTTTTACAACACATCTACAGATGGGTGCAAAACCAGCAACAATTACTGGTCTATCTGGAACTGGAGACATCGTGCTTACATGTTTTGTAAATCTTTCAAGAAATAAAACAGTTGGAGTTCGTCTCGGATCAGGGGAGAAGCTTGAAGATATACTCAGTTCCATGAATCAAGTGGTCTTGTAAAGTTTTAAACCAGCTGTTGACCCTTAAAATCTGGGTACCAACATGATTAGTCATGCTTTAGGTAGCCGAAGGTGTGTCGACTGCTGAAGCTGTGATTGCATTGGCACAAAAATATGATGTTAAAATGCCGGTCCTGACAGCAGTTGCTCGGATTATGGACAGCGAGCTAACCCCAAAGAAAGCTGTTCTTGAATTAATGAGCCTCCCACAGGTCATTCAATGTCCTTAATCTTTGATAAACAAGGAACCATTTTTGACTGTCATATACATGCCTTTTCTATATGATCTATTGTTCCCATATAATCATGTTAATATGATAAATTGTCACTTGTAGGTGGAAGAAGTTTGAAAACCAAGTATTTATCTTTGTCCCAACAAAACAATTCTCGCTTAATGGTGATTCAGTTTTCTTCATACGACTCCAAATCAATATCGCCGAGTAGCGGAAGAAACCATTGAAAGATGATTTCCATTTAAACATAAATTCGAAATTTTGACACAATTCCATTCGGAAATAAATTAAATAAAGTTTGAATCCTAAAATAGAATTAGTAAATTAAACTAACTTAAATTTTTTTATTCGACTCGGTTTGATCGAATATTCAGCTCTAGTGGCGAGACATGGTTGAGAGTTGAGCTGGTTCGCTAATGAAAGAAATAATGATCCGGAGATATACGATTTTTTTGAATTAGGGTTAAATTAATATTTTATTTTAAATTTAAGTATCAAATTAAAATTAACCTTTTCAGTTAACTTATTGTGCTATTAATATAACAAGGGTTTGTAATTGAGTGATCATAATGATAATTTTCTGAGGTCTTATTGTGCCATTTTGGGGTTTACCGTTTACATTCAAAACAACATCGTTTAGATGCATGTCTATGTATTATAACTCGACTCATTTCGAGAATTATTCGCACCTTTTGATGCGTTAGAGATAATTATGCTTAGGTCTGTCGTAATTGGTTTTTGTCCGGGTACAAAATTTTATTTGGCGGAAAAGTATGTGAATAAAATAAATGGTTTTTATTTAAATTTGTTGGGAGTCGTCATCGGTCTTTTGGGTGGTAGGTCGAATACCTAAAAAATAATCTTTTAAAAGAGTTTTTAAGAAAACGTCAGTTAAAATATAAACCGGTATGCGTTTAACAAAAAAATCATTCTTTTTTAATAATAAAAAGAGATTCGTGGTTGATTACGTTTGGGAAAGGATTAACACCCCCACAACGCCCAAAATTGGTCATTGTCGATTATAAATTGTCTCTAACAATAGAAGTTTAAGAATTCGAATATGAATTTAATTTACGATCATGTTTTATATTCAATTGGATAATAAGGAAAAAATATTAAAATAATTAAATTATAAATAAAGTATTTATTTATTTAAAAATATCGGAATAGGACTTCTAGTTGCTTTAAGACAGCCCATTTCTTTAATATTAATAAATAAATAAATATTAATAAGAATATAATAATTTTTCTTAAAAATAATAAAAAATGAAGTAAATATATATATATATATATATATATATATATATATTTATAAGCAGGATATTTATTTATTTTTTAAAATACTAGAATTGGACGTCTAGTTATTTTAAGACCGCCCTTTCTTAATATTTAAAAATAAATAAATATTATTATTTAATTAAATATATTTTCATATAACTAAGATAATAACAAAATAATAATTAAAGTACTAATTTAAACATATGGTAATTTAAAGGATAATAATAGCAATTAAACTAAAATGTAAATAAACAGTGACTAAAATAAATGAAATTTAAAACAACAGGATTGAAATTAAAATATAACAAAACTTATGTTAAAAAATAAAAGTTATTAAAATGAGTGATTAAATTATAACATATTAAAATTAAAGGCTCTAATTCAAAATATTATAAAAACTAAGTATTAACAGTGTAATTTTGACATTAATCAATTATTCGGGACTAAAATAAAAATTAATAAAATTACAAGGGACTAAAATAGTTATTTACCCTAAAATATATAATTACACTAGAAAGGACTAAAATAAAATAAAATAAAATTACGAGACCAAATTAAAATACTCAAAAAATCAATTCCAGTGACTAAAACGTAAAAATTACAAAATGGGAGTACTACGGAAAGGGTTTTCCCATGCGAAAAATTACCCAGAGGCCCTCACCAAAACTACGTCGTTTTGGTGAGGGTATAAATACCCTTAACCCCGACCGAGAAAGGCTTAAGCCTTTCATTTTTCTTTTTTCCTCTCTCTCTCTAAAATAGAGATAAAAAATCTCTCTACCTTCTCTCTAGGCTTCAGCCGCTGGAGAGAAACCAATCACCGGCCGCCCACCGTGCTGCCGCCCACCGTGCTGCCGCCTTGCTTCGGCGCCGGCAGCACGGTGGCCGAAAAACTCAAAATACACCAAATCGAAGATTTCAACTTCTAAAGGTCGAATCCAACCTTTTTTTTTATAAATCCCCTTCGATTGATGTAGATATAAGGTTATTTACCTTAGATGTTTCGATTTTCCAACGCTGCGGGGATGCTTTGATGACTACAGTTTCCTCGGTAAGTCTCTTTCTCTTTTCTTCTTTGCTGGTTGATGGTTTTGGTTGTTGTTTGTCGTGGTTGTTGCTGTGTTGGTCTTTGCTTGCTTTCGGTGGATGTGGGTTGTTCTCTGTCTGCTGTCTTTTTCTTTTTTGCAGGTGGTCGGTGGCTTTTATATCCATCGACGGTGTGGCTCTCGGACCGATCACAAGGGTGGAAGCCTTGGTGAGTCACCGGACTATGGTGGTGACTCACCATAGAGCTACAACGTGGAAGGGCAGCTGGCTTCGACAATGAGGTGAGGCAGCAGCTGGAACGTCGGTGTGGAGATAGCATAGGCAATGACGTGGCCCTAGGGTGATGATACCCTAGGGTTTCATCTGGAACCATCTGTGGACCGTTGGATCTTTCAGATCCAACGACTGAGATCATTGGCGGTTGGGGATGAGATGATGAAACCCTAGTTAGGTTTTAGGGTTTCTGTTGGGCTTGACCAGGTCTTCTTTGTATTCGAGCCTCTGGGTTCATTGTAATTTGGGCTTGTAATATATATTTAATTTAATAATAATAATAATATATTAATAATAATAATAAATAATAATAATATATAATAATAAGATGAAAAAATTAGTGTCTAACACAAGAATGAGAAAGACGAAAAAGACAATAATTTTTTTTCATTTGGTTTCTTTTGAGTAGGATGGAAATGTTGAAAACATTATGCCCAGAGGTCTTAAGAATGGCCCATAGGTCTTATCATCTTGCATTGTAGGTCTTACAGATGACCCGGAGGATTTAAGATTAAAAACCTTTGAAAATCAGTTTCTTAAAATCTCATTTGAAAACATCCTGCACTGTAAGTCTTACAGATGACCCGGAGGTTTTAAATATCAAAAAGCTCCAGAAGGCTTTTTGAAAACATCCTGCACTGTAGGTCTTATGGATAAACCGAAGGTTTTGAAAACATCATGCACTGTAGGTTTTACAGATGACCCGAAGGCTTTGGAAACATCAAAACACTCCCGAAGGCTTTTTGAAAATTTCCTGCACTGTAGATCTTATGGATGGCCCGAAGGTTTTGAAAATATCATGCACTGTAGGTCTTACAGATGACCCGAAGGCTTTGAAAATATCAAAAACCTCCCGAAGGATTTTTGAAAACATCTTGCACTGTAGGTCGTATGGATGACCCGAAGGTTTTGAAAACATCATGCACTGTAGGTCTTACAGATGACCCGAAGGCTTTGAAAATATCAAAAAGCTCCCGAAGACTTTTTGAAAACATCCTGCACTATAGGTCTTATGGATGACCCGAAGGTTTTGAAAACATCATGCACTGTAGGTCTTACAGATGACCCGAAGTCTTTGAAAATATAAAAAAGCTCCCGAAGGCTTTTTGAAAACATCATGCACTGTAGGTCTTATGGATGACCTGAAGGTTTTGAAAACATCATGCATTGTAGGTTTTACAGATGACCCGAAGGCTTTGAAAATATCAAAAAGCTCCCGAAGGCTTTTTGAAAACATCCTGCATTGTAGGTCTTATGGATGACATGAAGGTTTTGAAAACATCATGCACTGTAGGTCTTACAGATGTTAGAAATAGTTTACAAAGTAAGAAACTTTGAAAATCATTTTCTTACTATTCAACAATTTCATTTTCAGAAAAGATTAAATGAGAAACTTTGGAAACCGTTTTCTCATTTTTTTCAAAATAACTTGTTGTTTGGGTAACATGCCCCATTTTAAAATAATGCTTCATTTGTGGATTGCGTCCATCTATTCTTCATATGTTTGCGTGACTCCTGCATTCGAGGTTTTGAATTCTACCTTCTTCGTGTAAGGTATTTTCCATTATGAATCTTCTTTTTTCATACGAAGACCTGTAAAACTTCATATTTAAATGCAATCAGATGTATCAATGTAATGCATTGTCTATTGTGCAAATGATTTTCTTATGAAAGCATGAATGTTGATGCAATCTTCATTTGACTTAAAAGTGGTGAACTTGGTCTTCCTTCACTTGATCATTTATTTTCAGGATTACCTTTGGAGTGTAGCAACTTATGCTATCAAGCTTCTATCTCTGAAGAACCATCTGATCAACTTGTATCTTTATGTCTTCTTCATTTGCATTAAAGTTTCAGAAGAAATGTTTCATTTATGGAACTCTTTCCGTAATCAGAATTATGACCTTGATGCTCCATTTTTGTCTTTGATAAAACCAACTTTATTCACCTGGACTTGTGTAGAAATCCAATAAAGTTTTCATCTTTGAAAAGAGAATCTATAATCTTTTAAAAGAGAATCTATCATCTTTGAAAAGAGAATCTATCATATTTGAAGAATGATTCTTGAAACATATCACAAGGAAGATTTATCCTAATTCCTTTCATGTCTCCACATATAATTAGATCTCGAACAAGGGAACTTGGACCATATCATGTCGAGATGTTTAACAACAACCTATTGTTCAATCTTGGTTGGTTCCACTAGTTTCTTGTCGTTAAAATTTCAGCTTCCCTTCTGTGGAAAGAAATCTTCATCATTTTTCACTTCTAACCTTGGGGTTGAAGAAGACATACTTTATCTTGAATCAATAAATGGAAACACCACATGATCGTAGCATTGGTTCAGCACCATAATTACTGGTTCGTAAAGCATTTGACAACACGTTCATCCTTTCCTGTGGTTTCTGCCCAGATGTTTGTAAAACATTTGACAAACACTCATCCTTTCCTGTGGCTTTGACACATATTTATGGTTAGGGAAGCTCTTTGCACAGTGTTCAAAGCTTTTGCATGATTTCACAAGACCACTTGAGAAC